ACGTGATCCTCAATAATTATCTTGAACGCATAAGATTTTTTGAACTCTTTTATGGCTGTAGGCGGCAACTGCTGGGCTTTCTTCTCTAACAATATACTTTGGAGTCTCTTATTCTCAGCTTCAAGGATTTGCTGATCTTTCGCCTATTGGTTGATCGTTGCCTGTGCATCCACCAACTCTATATGTAGACGATTCATCCGATCATTCTGGGAGGAAGCCGAAGTGATCCTGTTTGCCAACTCTACTCTACAATGTTTGAGTTGATCCTCCACCGTCTTCATCTCCTTCACTTTGCCATCATATTTCTTCTTGTATTCCCCTTGAAGGTATTTAACCTTCACAAACTCGTTGTTCCAGTCATTCATGGTCTTATTCATCTCAAGCTGGAAATCAATATGCTGCTCCAAATGAAACAACAAAAATAAAGATGTGTAAGGGACATATCCTTTGAAATAAATACAAAAAGAAAGAGACAAGGTGAAGGAAATTTGAACTCACCAACTCCTCAGCATGTCGACGGCCAATGCACTGATATTTTAAAACATCTTCTGGAATGTACGACTTGGATGGAGATATACGAGGACATTTGCTGGCGACTATTAAAATTTCATCTGTGTTCTTCTTCTTTGATTCCTGTAAATCTCTCTCACTCATTGGTCGCTTGGATTGACTTTTTTGGGCCTATGAAACTCTCATATATTTCTTCAACATTTATACATGCGAATCTTCCTGCTTGAGTATATAATCCCACATTGAACAAGTATTCTTCATCTATGTATCTATTCAAATAACGCACCTCATAATGTAGGGCGTCGATATCGGGAAGCTTCAGAATCTTCAATAAATCTTCTGCTCCAATATGAAGGGGGATGGATAACTCCTTCAACTTTCCCCACTTTTCTTGAAGGCTCCAATTATTTTGCACATAAAAGAAAGCACTAATCTAACCTTTTGACGGGTCTCGAGTATGGATATCCAACCACTTGGATCTGAAAGAAATGCGACCCTACGCATCACTGAAGAAACGCCCCATCCGAGAAAGGCATTCTGAAGATAATACCACTCCATGGTCAATAAAGAGTACGATCAGGCCCATTACAATCGACATGGCCCTGTAGAAAAATTGAGATAAACTCACTCCACAAACTGTCAGAATGTCAATCAATTCAGGAGATGGTGGAAACCCCGGCCCTACTCGTAAACTGAATTTATATACCGTCACATATCCCGGGGGAGAAAAACGGGCGTGATCAGATCTTGTCGGCACCTTCATCACCAGATCATTAGGAAAATGAAACGTTTTCCTAAAGGAGATGAAAGAATCCTCAGGGATTGTGGAAATAACATCGTCAGTATTCGACGCTTTGTGAGTCTTCTTTGAACCTTCAGATCGGTGCACATGACGATCTTCCTTGGTTGGAGGGTTTCTTTCAGATATGTGATCACCCATTTCAATTCCTTTACCAAAGAGGGGCGCTAACCTGAGTTGGGAAAATCACCTACGAAAGATAGCAGAAAGCCTCTAGAGTAGGAAGAAAAATGGGGGGGGTTCTAGAGTTTTTTAGAATTTTTGAATTTTTCAAAATTTTCTGAATTTTTTTCAAATTTTTTTTGGAATTTTTTGGGCCCAACACGATTTAAAAATAAAATTTAAAAACCCATTAACAGCACGGCTTTACCGCGTGGTCTGAACAGGCGCGCCTGTTTGCGAGTGTCGTGCGGGCACCGCCGTGTTCAAACATCTTAGCACCGCAAATCACATCCTCGGCATCAAGATTCAAAACCAACAAGATAAGTATTTACTCTCTCAACCCTCTTACGCTCTTTATATCATCCAACAATCTAATCTTCTCAATTGTAATTTTGTAGCCAATCCCTCATGTACCAAGTCGCCGGTCGAGACTCAACCGAACTCAGTTCTTGCGGATCCAACAACATACAGGAGGATCATCGGTGCACTGTAATATCTAACCATCACCCGTCCGAACATAGCCTATGTCGTCAATGCTCTATCACATCATATGCATGATCCACATCAACATCACATTTATTTACTTAAGCGACTCATCCGCTACATCAAAGGAACAGTCAATTTCGGGCTACCAATCACAAAATCTGACCTCACACTTACCACTTTCTCAGACGCTGACTGGGCTAGCGATCCTATAACTCGAAAATCAACATCAGGATACTGTACCTTCTTGGGCAACACACTGGTCTCTTGGACAGTCAAAAAGCAAAACACAGTCTCCCGCTCGTCTACAGAGTCTGAGTACCGTGCTCTCGCAATAGCAGACACCATCTGGCTCAAACGCTTACTCACGGATTTTTTTATTACTCATGACAAACCTATAGATTTATATTGCGATAAAACCTTTGCTATCGCCCTAGCAAACCTAGTGTTCCACGCCAAAACCAAACATATAGAGATCGATCACAGGTTCATCCGAGAACACATCAACAATAATCATATTCGTCTTCCCCCAATCAAGACGATTGATCAAATTGCTGACATCTTTACCAAACCGTTGTCTACGCCTCGATTCAAACAGTTATGGGAAAAACTAAAAATCATCCAAGATCCATTAGTTTGCGCTTTTGGGGGGGGGGGGGGGGGGGGGGGGGGGGGAGGGGATATTAGAATAACTACTAAATATGTATTACAATACTTCAACTAATACCTAACCAATGACATATCTACACGTGTACTGCTTACCTATGAGGTCTATATATATCACAGCTTGTACATCCCATCTCATGAAATAAGAATCAATTCATTTTGTCTTGCTATCTTCTTCTTCCATGTTCCAATCAATGTTCAAAAGCTTCCAATAGGCTTTGAGTCCTCGATTCAGACTTATTTGGGTTTGGATTGGATCTTTTTTTATGTCTTTGGGTTCGTCTCTTCAAGACATTCAGTTTGACTAAAAATTTGTTGAAATTGGAGTTCATATGATCACGGATTTAATTTTGAAAATTTTTTATTCATATTTGTATCGAGATAAGTGCCCGGTCAAGATAGGCTTTTTAATAACAAATCAATTTGTATTTTATAGTTCATTCAATTAAAGTGAACCCATTTTAAGAAAAGACAAAAAGAAAATGACAATCAAGTAAGCATGGGGCCTTAATATATTTTAATAAAAATAATATACCAAAAATTATAAAGAAAGTCATCTACAATCCACCAAGTACATCAAATAGAAGAAAACCTCAAACTATCAAAATGTTGAAATTTTATCCTTTTCTAAAAGTAAAATAGATACAATACAATGGGGCGTGCAATAAGCCCATTAATTTCCACGAAATTTGTATATATATATATATATATTCAATGTTCACAGTGAAAGTTGAATCGTTTTTCAACTAGCAAAGCAAAATCAATAAATCTACATTGCATAAATGACATATAAGATCGATGCATGCCGTCAATATCAACACTTACAAACTTTATTGTTAGTCATCACCAACAATATTGATGCATCTCATTGCTTATAAGCCCAATTCATGTCATCGACGCGAATGATGACTCCCATCAACTTCATCACATGTTATCGCCAACAACATCAATCATCAATACCTATAAGGCTATAAAGCTAATGCTTATCATTGACACCGACGTGAACACCATCGGTTTCATTTTATGCCATTGTATACATCATCACTAATACAAACTATCAACATCATCATCGACTTCAACCAATTTTGTTTCCCGTCATTGCCAACGATGTCCGCATATGACATTGCCAACAAGGCCGATGTATATCCTCGACATCAACATTGATGCTTGTCGATTTCATTGCCGGCCATCGCTAACAATATCAATGCTCTTAACATATACAAGTTTAATGTACACAATAAACACTAACTTTCACCCCGACTTCAAACACCAAGTTTTATACCATCCTTTTTGATCTTTGGTATCCTCTCTTCAAAGAAAAATGATCAAAAAGAAATAATCTCTTAATGATAACTCTAATGCCATAAGATTCTTCTAACTTTAGCCGTAGAATTTATTGTCTATAGTTGATTACTATCATATTGTGCCAATACTTTTGGCCAATCACATGAAATGACGTCATTTTTATTTCGTTAAAATATATTAGTCAATTCATTTCAATTCGATCAGGCCTCGGGTTTTTTCTTTTTTTTACATTTTCGCGTAAAACCTCTTAAAGCTTCTCTCGCCGAATTGCATTCGGGTGTATGGAGTGGCTTTTTGCTCCAATGGATCGTCAAAAAATACGCCAATGGCATGCGGGTGAACAATCTCACGTCAATATTGATGTCAGACTGTTCACTTATGCGAAAAAATCACTCTATTTTTTACTTTGCAGGAAAGGCGCGAAACAAGATAGTTGTTTTTAGCACGGGAAAGAAGAGAAATGAAGTTCCATTAGAGATGAATTGCAGCATTATGAAGTTTTCCATCATTTTAGAGTGAAAAAAAGGAATTTTCGGTTGGAGATGCCCTTATGCCTCTTATAACATTTCTTTATCTATGCGTATCAGAGAGTCTTATAAAACTAAGACATTCACTCTCTCTTTATCTTCATCAATTTTCAAGCACATAACACTCTCATGTGGAAAAAAATTCATAGTTTGTCTCGCCATGCAGAAATGGCTTCTCTCTCACTTCACTATTACGATAAAATGGGGAAATATAAATCTAAGTGAAGATTTTAGATGGTATTACACTCATGTACAAAATCTTTTAAATATGATACTCATAAATCTTTTAACAAAATTAGGAACTTAAAAATACCTTATTATTCTGATCATATTAGAATAAGAATAAGTATATGTACTTCATTGGGTATTACATAGGACACTATAATTTTCCAAAAATTGATACCCCCACCCTTTTTTAATTTTTATTCACTTAAGCCTCAGAGAAGTATAATTTTATGTAGAAAGCCATAATTTTTATACTCAAAATATATTTGAAAACATATGCCTAAATAGGCTCTTCCGTACCAAAACACTGAACATCGAACATAATCAGAAAGAAGACAGCACGCACTCCACAAACACAACAGCCTCCACCTCCAATCCTCTGTGGAAAACAATCAAACATGTTGTCGGCTCATTCTCCCTTCCTCGGCGGAACCCCAACCCCAACTCGCCGGACCACTCCAACCCCCCGCCGCCACCGCTCACTCTCAATCGCCTCCTCCTCTCCCCCTTCCGACCCGCTCACCACCTTCGGCCGCCTCCTATGGGGCCGCTCCCTCCCCCCCACCCCCCTCATCTCCCTCGCTCGCTCCTCCTGGTCCTCTGCCTGGCATCTCATGATGCTCCAGCTCGCCCCATCCACCCCTTCCGGCTCCTACTCCCGCCCTTCCTCCCCCTTCCCCTCCGCCCCCGCCCACTACCTCACCTCCCGTCCCCTTCGCCTCACCTCTACGCCGCCTTCTCCTAGCCTTGGCCACCATGACCCTTCTCGCTCAGCCCCTCCGATTCCCTCGAATCGCTCATCCCGCTCTCCTACGTCGTCCCCGCAGAGACGGATGTATGGGAATTTGAATGCTCCTGACTTTACCCCGGCTGACCGCACCTTAAGAGACGTATACGGCTTCGGCCGGCGGGTATGATGGCGCGACGTGCCGATGCTTTGGACTCGGAGCTTAGAGACGCCGTCTGTAATGAGAGCTATGGCAGTCGTTAGTTCTTAACGCCCTTGATTCTGGCTGGATGTGATCTTTGACCGTGATCACCCTCCGGGGCAATTGAACATCTGGATGCGATCGTTTATCCCAGATTTAGTGATGTAGGAACTCTTAGCTTTATTGGCTTAGAGACTAGTTTTACCTATCCTTGCCTCAGAGACTTTCTATTTCCCTGTAAATAGGTCCAAGTTAGGTTTGAGGATTATTGAATGATATATCTTTAGCTCTGTTGAAGCTGTTTAAGCTATCTCTCTTCTCTTCCCATGATAGGAATCCCTACAATCCTTCCTTTATGCACTGTCGCATCTTTCGACGATCCAACGTTACATCAGTTGGTATCAGAGCCTGGAGCTTGTGAAGATCGATGGACTGCGGAAGAAGGTCGGCTGTCGACGACAATCGAAGCCGCAAAACAAGATTGGGGGTCGACGACGATCGACGCCAAGGAAGGTGGGCTGTCGACGTTGCTCGAAGCTGGATCGCCTTCTATCAAGCTCAATCGAAGAAGTCGCTCGATCAGGTAGATAGAAACCTTGATCGGATTCGCGAAACCCTTCTGTCAATAAGGAGGATGAGGATGTCGTCGGCAACCATACCGAAGCATTCTTCTTCTTCGATCCCCTCGTCCGCTTCACGCAGATGCCATCCGTCCTACCATACTCCCACGGTCGCTGATGATTATGCTCCGCTCGAACTCCCGCTCAAATGGCGTGATCCACCGCCGGAATACCCACCGCTCGAGCTTCCATTGCGATGGCGAGATCCTCCGCCTGATCGCAAAGTTCGCAAATATCCCTTGCCCAACGACTCGCTTCCGCATCCGCCTCCACAGACTACTTCTGCATCCTCTGTTTCTCCGCCGATCTCCTCTACTGTTTCCGCATCCGAGCGCGATTCCTCGCCTGGCGACCAGCGCGAATCCGTGCCTGGCGACGACCACGATTCGCTACCCGACGAAACAATCGTCTCAGCAACTCAGCATTATCACAGCTGGCTCCTGCTCCTGCTCCCGGCCCCAGCCCCACTTCCGCAGCTAACCGACCCATCGCCTATGCCCCTTACGACCCAAGTGACGCCTGACCCCATCAGCTCCGGCGCCCCGCAGGCTCCTGCATCGAGCGATCCGGTGGACTCCAGCCACCGCTCAAGTGGCGATTGCGACAAATACAGATCTCATGATCAAGATCGCGACAAAGACAGTCCTCTTCTTCTTCTTTGCATGGCCAAGCCCGATCCCGTCGGCTCCTTCACCACTGCTCCTCACCACATGCCGATCATCTGCGCTGCTCGCGTCTTTCAGCTCACACGGGAGCTCGGACATAAGTCCGATGGACAGACCATCGAATGGCTGTTACGCCTGGCTGATCCATCCATAATCGAAGCCCTCTGTGGCTTCTAGTTCGTGTTAATCCATCTTGACTGCCGGCAGCTGCTTATTAAATCAAATCCAGGAGATGTTGTGAAGCCTGATCAATTCAAGGCGATCAATGACGAGGGAATGCCAATGTACCAGAAGTCATTCATGCGAGGCAAACTCTACATCCACCTCACTGTAGATCTCCCAGATTCATTGACATCAAAACAGTGCAAAGCTCTTGAGAGCATCCTTCCCTTGAGGACCCCGTTGCAGCTGACCGCCATGGAGCTTGACGAGTACGAAGGGACGACCTTGTACAGCGTTGATACTGAGAACAATTTTACTGCAGGTGTGGAAATCCCAGGTTTAAACTTGGCTGACAAAGTTGATCATCTGCAATGCTCCTCAGCTGCTCGACATAATGTCAAGGAGTACATTGTGGTGCTTGTTTGTAATGGCAAGCATCAAAATCAAGCACATGATGACCTACAAGCATTTTTAAGGGAGAAGAGCGGGGCATTTGTAGCTTGGCTTTGGGATTATCTTTCCAAAGAATTCATTTTGAAGGCGAATCGTGACCTCGCTGATCCAGAAGCCAAAGTAACAACTAATCATAGTAAAAGTTTGGACAGGGAAAATATAAGTAGCATTCTTGCAAATCATGATGCTCAATCAATTGGGCCACCAAAGAATGGATCATTGGAACTGCCAACCTGTAGTACAACTTTAGAATACTTAAAAACTTTTCAATTGTCAGAGAGGCTCCAGCCTTGCCCCCCTAATTTGGATGAACGTTCAACTGAAGTAAATATGGAGAGGTTCAAGCCACAAGAGATTGCTCTTCAGAAGAGTTTCGGTTCAAAGAGTGGTAATTTCACTACAACAGCAAAAAATATGTTATCTTCAATTACGAGTTCTCATGAAGTTTCACCTGTTGGCAATCAGTCTTTACATTATGAACTTCAACACCGGAAGATACCAAAAAATGCTTCCAGTACTGTACCTTCTCAACGCCTGCCTGAACCAAAGACAGAACAGACTGCAATATGTTTGCGATCTGTCATTGCAGAAGAACATCTATTGAGGCCTTCATCCAATAGAGATTTTGCTAAAACAAGGATGTCAGATTCAACCAGTGCTCTTGAGGGGCCAGATTGTATTTTTGTTAGACCCCCATATGATTTTACTAAAGTGCAGGTACGAGGGTTGCTTGAATAATTTGGGGCCCTTCGAGGCTTTGATTGGGAAGCATTTACTAGGAACTACAATGACTATTTTGGTTTGGCGACTGATGACGATGTGATATTTTATGTGATGCTTGTTAATGATGTTAGTCATGGATTGTACACCAAGGCTATTAACATGGGTGAAGATGTCCGTGGAATGCCAACCGTGCTCCAAAGCATTTGTGAATGTCGTGATTGGATCACTCATAAGTTTGCCGCAGATTCGTTGATTGTGGTTGCCCCTTATTCAGGCCAAGTGATTTCCAATGGGAATTCTACCCTATTTAAGCCTCTTAAAGCTTGCTCTTTTGATAAGGTGAAACTTGTGAGAGGTGGCTTGATAAAGGTATTGCCTGTTTGGAGAAGAAATTCAGACAAGGGTGACACTACGGTACCTGAGGCATCAATGGAAAGGAAAGTCGCTCATTTCGGCAATAATGAAAACAAAATCTTCGATCCGGGAATCTGTCTTCTGCAACTTCTTTGTCAATAATGCATCTCGACGGAGTCGAGCTCTTTTTACGCAAGGGGAGAATGATGTAGGAACATCTTAGCTTTTATTGTGCTTAGGGACTAGTTTACCTTCCTTGCTCTAGAGACTTCTATTTTCCTCTTTAAATAGGTCCAATGTAAGGTTTTGAGGATTATTGAATGATATATTTTAGCCTTTGAAGCTTTTAAAGCTTTCTTCTTCTTCTTCCCTGATTAGGAATCCCTAAATCCTTCTTGCATGTCGCATCTTCCGACAATCCCACTACATCAGATTAACAACGGCCTTTACAGGTAGGTAGATACGGGTAAACGCAGGCTGTTCTAATCTAGTTGTTTAACCTCCATCATAAGGTAGTCTTATTATAAAATAAAAATCAACTTGAGTTCATCACAGAACCCTGTTTCTTTTTTTGATATTTGGCAGATGCGGGTTCGCGCAGAGCCAGGAGGCCTACGACGCCGCCGCTTCCGAGCTATTCGCCGCCATGGATGCGATCGAGGAGCATTTATATTCTTCACGCTATCTCTGCGGCGATACGGTTACATTAGGGCATCTCCAACCGAACGCCAAACGAGCGTT